TGGTTGAGATCTACTGTCTGTGACTGTGACAACTGTCGCCTGATAAGTCTCATGTTTATGTTCTGAAGCCCTTCTTTAAAGTAATTCAAGCACAAATTTACCGCAAATGCGAAATCCAAGTTAGCGCAACCCAGTCTGGATCCCCGAATGGTGTTGGCACACGGGAAGCCATCTTATCTCTGAAAGTCTTAACACAAAGATGACGAGATATGAATACCTTAACCATAAAAAAAAACCATTAAATCATAAATGGCAAAGATTAGCCGGTTAGCAAAGAGAGCCGGTCTACTCGTTTAAATATGTGGACACCTCGATAGATCAGCACTGTGACCCTAAAAGTGAAATCAGATCCAAAATAGGACAGGAGAGGAAGATATTCGCTAGTATGAAGAAGCTCTCTACTAGATTGGAATTGAGCTTGGATCTCAGGACACGCATGCTCCGTTGCTATGTGCCCTTTGTCCTTCTATACGGCAGTGAGAGCTGGAATCTTGATCCCATAGCAGAGACGAGAATCGACGCATTTGAGGGTATCTCTATCGACGCATGCTCAGAGTTTCTTGAACAGAGAATATAACCAATTTAGATGTTTTAATAGGTATAAGCAAAGGACAGGAACCGCTACAAACGATGAAAGAATGGAAAACACAGTATCTTGGAGATATTATGAGGGGCAGCTGATACGAAGTCCTGAAACTCATCATCGAAGGAAAGATTCAGGGAAAAAGATCAATCGGAAGACGCCAGAACTCATGGCTGAAAAATATCCGCAGGTAGTTTGGGCTCACATCTACAGAGATTTTCCGAGCAGCCTTGTTTCCAAAACAACACTGGCCATTTAGATCGCCAACCTTCCCGAAGAAACGGCGAGGTAAAAAAGAAACCACATTGTAAAACTGGCCTCGAATTCTGGATTAAGACGTTATTTTCCAACAGAACACTACCATAGGAAAACTTCACACAGGTCCCCCGTATTATTTGGATTGGATGGTGCGTTCCGCAAATATGCGGGAGGAGTCGCCTACGCTCTCTGAGTAATGGCTCAAGAAGAAGGTTATATAAAATCACCTATAAGTCTTATTACCAAAAGTCATTTGTATTTTCTTCACGAGAGCTTTGAAATTACCAATAATTTTTCACTATTGCATGTTTTCCATGATTTCACGAGTCCGAAGGACAAGTGAAATTTGCAAGGAAAACATGCCAGAGTGAAAAATTATATGGTTAATTTTAAAGCTCAAGTGGTATTTAGTGAGATTATTTCTCAAATTAAATATTAAAAATTAAATTTCAGAATATATTTGACATCAATAACTTTAAATTAATCAGTCGACAGTGATATTTTTATGATTCCATGACGACGTGAAAATTATCGAATTATCGTTTATTAATACCTTTTTTGCCCTATGGCGTTGCTATGGATGAGTGAAATAATTGCTGTAATTTTTTTTGAAAATTATCGAATTACCGTTTATTAATACCTTTTTTGCCCTATGGAGTTGCTATGGATGAGTGAAATAATCGGGGGTAATTGCACAAGTGCTTCCAAATTACCGATAATTTTGCATGAAAGCTTGTTGTCTCGAAACTGCATGAGTTTATTTTCATATTGTGGCGAAAAATGGCTCCTCGTTCGGAGTCGGGCTTTTTTGCGTTCCAATGTGAAAATAAAAATATCAGATTATCATATAGGATAGGAGTCAGGGACGATCATATAGGAAGGAAATCTTCACCTACAATTACTAAATTAAATTCAAAAGTTTAGTAACAAGAATTACCTTGTTTGTTAATTATGTTAATAATAAGTGTAAATATTAGTGTTGCATTTAAAGTTCCTGCGTCTACAAATATTTTTACTGAAATAAGCAACACTGAAGAACGAAGTATTTTAATAAATCAAAATCGCTTAGATTACCCCGAAATAACAGCAAAATTCAAACAATTATTATTTTATTTAGTATTAA